AATTGTTGCGTGAAATGACGCAGCTTGCGGGGAAAAGTGTTGGCGAAGACGCACTGCGTACATTGTGGATCCAGCGTTTTCCAGCAAGGGTACAGGACATTCTGGCAGTAGTCGACGATGCGCCATTAGATCGTCAGGCGAAATTGGCCGACAAAGTGTCGGAACGCTCAGCAATGGCGGGGGTGGCCGCCATTTCTGACGACGCTTACACCCCACCCGAAACGAGAGACGCCAGGCCCAGAGTTCAAGATGGCGAAGTGGCCGCCATGGCCATGCGGCTATCCCGACTCGAGGCCCAACTGAGAGGACGCTGGCGTAACAACAGCCGAGGGCGTTTCCAGCGGAACAGGAGCAATTCGCGAGGCAGAAATAATCCCAACGGTTTCTGTTATTATCACGGTAGATTCGGTGCAGAATCCACGAGGTGCAAGAAACCATGCGCCTGGACAGGGCCGGATAAACAACAGGGAAACTAGAAAGGCCGTCGCTAGTTGAGGCATTGGGAGACGACCTTAGGAAACATCGCCTCATTATTACGGATCCAAGCACCAGGATCCAGTTCCTCATAGACACCGGCGCGGATGTTTCTGTGGTACCCAAGGCTTTTGGAGGTAAGAATCTGGAGGCAGACATTTTTAAATTATACGGTGCAAACGGAGCAACTATAGATACGTATGGTGAAAAATTGCTACCGTTGAATTTAGGTTTACGTCGAAATTATTCGTGGCGTTTTATATTAGCCGATGTGGCAAAACCCATCATCGGAGCCGATTTTCTGCATTTTCATAATTTATTAGTTGATTTGAGAAATAGAAAATTATTAGACGGGGATACAAAACTTTATAAAACACTCAATATAGTTGAAAGCGAAATTCCGTCCATTTCGACAATAGACAACAATAGTTCCATAAATCGATTATTAAAAGAATTTAAAGAGATAACAAGACCTAACACGAAAGAAGTTTCTAAACACAATGTATTTCATCATATAGAAACGAAGGGCGCTCCGATAGCTGAGCGCGCAAGACGTCTGCCTCCAGAAAAATTAAAAATTGCCAAGGCGGAGGTTGAGCAAATGCTCAAAGACGGTATTTGCCGCCCCTCCAAGAGTCAATGGGCTAGCCCGCTACACCTTGTGCCAAAAAAGACTGGCACTTGGAGACCGTGCGGAGATTACCGCAGGTTGAACGGTGTGACAATTCCTGACAAATATCCACTGCCGCACATCCATGATGCGGCACACCAATTGGAGGGATGTAAAGTATTTTCTGTCATAGATTTGGCCAAGGCGTACAACCAAATTCCGGTTGCGCCTGAAGATGTGCCGAAAACAGCTATTGTCACGCCGTTCGGCCTGTTTGAATTTGTGGTGATGCTGTTCGGTCTCTGCAACGCTGCACAGACCTTTCAAAGACTTATGGATACTGTGTTGAGAGGTCTGGATTTTTGCAAGTGTTATGTAGACGACATTATTGTAGCATCTCCGGATAGGGAAATTCACGAGAAACATTTACGCGAAATTTTTAGTAGGTTAAGAGATTATGGTTTAAGCATTAATTTAGTCAAATGTACTTTTGCGCAGGATACAGTGCAATACCTAGGCTATAAGGTTAGTGATAAAGGAATTGCCCCGTTGGGCGAACGGGTTAAGGCAATTAAAGAATACCCAAAACCAAAGACTATAAAAGAACTTAGGCGTTTTCTAGGAGTCCTAGGTTTTTATAGGAATTTCCTGCCAAGGGCAGCAGATTGGTTAGCCCCGCTTCATAGGCACCTCAAGGGAGCAAAAAGAAAGGACAGGATGCTGGCCGATTGGGACGATGAGTCCGAAAATGCGTTTGAAAGTGCAAAAAAGCAGATAGCCGCAGCAACGTTGTTATGCCATCCAAAGGAGAATGCACCTTTAGCGTTGCGCACCGACGCATCGGATGTCGCGATCGGTGCAGTACTGGAACAATTAAGCAATGGTAAGTGGGAACCACTCGGATTTTTCTCTAGAAAATTAGAAAAGGCACAAACAAATTACAGCGTATACGATAGAGAGCTTTTAGCCATCTACAAGAGTCTTAGATTTTTCAGACATCTTGTAGAGGGCAGGGAATTGCGTATACAGACGGATCATAAGCCGTTGATATATGCATTCCAGCAAAAAGCCGACAAAGCCAGTCCGCGACAAGTCAGACAGCTAGACTACATCAGCCAATTCACCACTAAGATAATTCATATAGATGGTAAGGAAAATATAGTGGCTGATGCCTTCTCTAGACTGCAAACTGTAGAAATGCCCGTCATTATCTCCACAGAGGATTTAATGCGAGCACAAGCGGAAGATCAAGAATTAGAAAAATTGCTAACAGAAAATTCCAGCAAGTGGAGCTTCCAGAAAATATATTTGGATAGCTCAGAGAAATACTTGTACGGAGACATTATTAAAAGCAATATCAGACCTTATGTTCCGCAAAGTTTAAGAAGACGCATTTTCAATTGCGTACATAATTTATCGCATCCTAGCGGAAGGACAACTCAAAAATTAATCGCAAGAAATTTCGTTTGGCCTTTAATGAATAGAGATATAGCCGAGTGGTCACGCGTATGCATTCCGTGCCAAAGAAGTAAGATTAATCGTCACAATAGACCAGCACCTGAAAAGATCCAAGTCCCGGAAGGACGATTCGAGCACATCCACGTCGACCTGGTAGGTCCGTTGCCTGTAATTAATAATAGTAAATATTGTTTGACAATCATAGACAGGTTCACCAGGTGGCCGGAAGCTATCCCGCTCGCGGATTGCACAGCGGATACCGTAGCAGCGGCGTTATATGCCAATTGGGTAGCGAGATTCGGAGCACCAGCAACCATTACAACGGATCAAGGCACTCAGTTTGAATCCCAATTATTTCAAGCCTTGACAAATTTAGTGGGATGTAATAAAACACGAACTACAGCATATCATCCTCAATCTAACGGGATAGTTGAAAGATGGCACAGGTCTCTCAAGGCGGCCATAATGTGCCACGAAAACGCAAACTGGGTGGAAATCCTTCCCACCGTGTTGCTGGGGCTCCGAGCTAGCTACAAGGAAGACATTAAAGCATCCGCAGCCGAAATGCTTTACGGTTCGGCAATTCGGCTACCTGGCGAATTTTTCGTCACTACAGATGAAACAACGGATCCACAGATATTTTTAGAAAAATTCAGACAACATATAAGAAAGATTAAGCCTGTACCGACTGCGCATCATTCTGTCCCGAAAACGTTTTATCATAAAACGTTATATACATGTTCGCACGTATTCGTCCGAATAGATGCAGTCAGAAAACCCCTTGAAGCGCCATATGAAGGACCATTTAAAATAATCGAGCGAATTACAGATCATATTTTTAAGATTGATTATAAAGGAAAACCTGTTAATATTTCCGTAGAGCGTTTAAAGCCAGCCTTTTGCGAAATTACAGACAGCTCAAGCCAAAGAATTCCAAAGACGTACCTAAGAAAAGAAGTAAGATTCGCGAGTTAAACCAAATTGTATTAACTCACTCGGGGGGGAGTACTGTGGCGGCTAACGTCACAGGAGTAACAAGCGCCATCTAGTTAAGTTCCTAGTCTAGTTAGTTTTAGTTAGTTTAAGTAAAAGTCACTAGTTTGTAGTATTTAGATTTAAGTTGGCGCACCCCCCTTGGTACATGGCCCAAGGGATGAAAAGGGCCAGTTCTGTTCGACGCCCTCGAGAAGACAGAAGCATATAAAAACCGAAGCGTGTATTCGAAATAAAAGTCTTTGTGAACGCAATCGTATTAAGTGTATATATTGAAGACTCTCCCAGCAGATACCTATCCACCACACTTGCTTTCGAGAAATGTAAGCGACGTCAGCGATGCAAGAGCGAGAAGGAAAGCGAGTATCAGCCTGTTCTTCTCGGCTCTTCCGAAACTCAACGAGCTCACGTACACGCAATTGGGCATAGTGTGCGAAAGTGAGGAATGTGGAGTTTCCGGGGCCCCGATGCACAGTCTGATTAAACTGATTTCGAGTCGCAAATACGTTTCTGCCAAGTTATTTTTTTAATAAATGATGTATTACAATTTAAAATAAAAAATAGAGAATTTGCGGTGTACGTATTAATGAAATACATCCTTAGGAATTTTAATTTAAAGGATTAATATTCTTAAATAAAATTAATAATCTTGAAATTTTTAAATACTCTTAATCGATTGATTACTCCAATGAAATTAATCGATTAATGTCCAATGATGGACCCTACAGCTTTAATTCCGTTAAAAAATAATAAAATTTATGTAATTTTATTTTCTGCCTCACTTCCTCTTGTGTTAATTTCTGAATCTGTTGATAACGTTGCGAGTGACACGAAAATGGTAATGGGGTCCCGGGGCCCCAGAAACTCCGGCCGAAAAATTACATTAGGTGATAGGTCTATTCCTATACCTCATCTGTGGTCAAAGTCTAACCGGACTTTTAAATGAGAACATAAAACTTAAGTGTAAAGTTTCATTTAAATTCATTCAGCTATTTATACTCAATCGTATTAATAATATACATATGTGTGCTCATACATGGGAATAAAAAAAAATTCCTTTTTTTTCAATAATTAAAATATGATCAGGTGGTCTTAAAACGTGTATTTCCGTAAAATAAATTTTACAAAATTTTTTTTTCATTATGGGTACTTTGCTTATGTGCGCCTACATAGGTCGGAAAGTAAAAATGCCTGGGCAGTCGAGAATCTCGGCTCGAGAATCCAAATCGTATGCCGTTGACGGGAGGTCGGATTTCAGTTGTTAAGAGCGAGAAGGCAAATGTGAGTCTTTCTCTCTCGACTCCCACGAAGGGGTCCGAAATTACTTCGGGCAGCTTCGGAGAATTGAGAAAGAGGGCATGCGTCAGTTTGCCTTTGTCGACTTTCCGAAACTCCACGAACTCACGTACGCGTATCTGGCATGCGCAAGTGTGCACCCGACCGTGCTTTTCTGGCATCACTGACTGCGAATAACAAATGCCGGCGCAGTGAGGATTGAGCTTTATGATTATAGAATAAGTCAGAAATTGTTAATGCTGTAGTAGGAAAAGGTATTGTTGGATTATATATGGTTGCTATTATTCAGATTTGTGAAGTTTAAAAATTGATTATCGACGTACCAAGAGAATTTCAATATGACATCTCTTAAAGTTATGCAACCAGGTAAATTTAATATTAATTATCAGAAATTATTAATATGTATTCAATGGTCATTTTTATTAATGAACATATTATAACCTCTAAAGCCTACTATTACAAATTCAAATACTAATAACAATATAATTATATAATTTGTGTAATTATTTCATTTTATACATACATTTCACCTTTATTATAATAATTTTCAGGTTTAAAACTATTACAATCGGCTACAAAGATTTTAAATGTACCTTCATTTCGAACCAAATATTATTATGTTAACAAAGATGATGATGGAAAAACTTGGAGAGATATTGCTGATGCCACAGTACAGAAGATATTTTTGTTAGAAATTTTACGTGGAATGGGAATTACAATGTCCCACTTATTTAGAGAACCAGCAACGATAAACTATCCATTTGAAAAAGGTCCTTTAAGTCCACGATTTAGAGGAGAACATGCATTGAGAAGGTACCAATATAAAAATGTTTATATTATATTTATAGAATCGTAAATTTTCATTTCTTTCTATAAAAATGCTTTCAACATAAAAATGCAAATTAAATTATATTTTTTCCATCGTTTGTAAAAAGACTAAAATGATATACAGGGAATCCTAAATCTATACTGACAATCTTTACTATGCATTTGAGAAATTTTTTGATCATTCTGGTCAAAAAATGTTATATATGCTATAGATTAATTTATTTTTGTTTTCAAATATTTAAAATAAAATAAGTAAAATATGATTAATATATTTTACTAGATATCCTTCAGGAGAGGAAAGATGTATTGCATGTAAATTATGTGAAGCAATTTGTCCGGCACAAGCTATTACTATTGAAGCAGAAGAAAGAGCTGATGGTTCTAGACGAACAACAAGATATGATATAGATATGACCAAATGTATTTATTGCGGTTTTTGTCAAGAAGCTTGTCCAGTTGATGCAATTGTAGAGGTACTCATGACTGATATGATAATAAACAAGGATAGATTATGTGCTTGCTTTTGATTCATAGTAGAAAAAAACATAGTTTTGTTGAACGAAATAAATATTCATTTGTTCTGTGTGACTAATATAAATGTGGTTTGAAAAATGTTTTAATGTATTCACGTTAATTATTTAAACTGTTTTAGGGTCCAAATTTTGAATTTTCTACAGAAACACATGAAGAATTGTTATATAATAAAGAAAAACTTTTAAACAATGGAGACAAGTGGGAAACTGAAATTGCTAGTAACATTCATGCTGATCATTTATATCGTTAAATAATTTATAAGATGTAGTGCCAAATTATATGTAGTAAATAAATAATTAAATATATTTAATATCTGGTTTATTTTATTAATAAAGTCTACTCGTTATTGTATGATGTAACATTATGCTTTTTGTTAACATATTTGTACAGTTTCATAAATATTCAATAGAAAGCTTTACTACGATTTAATATTATTCGATAATAATTTGCATAAACTTATTTATAAATATTACGGATATTTTTAGCGATGTAATTTCAGATAATGTATTTTAAAGAACGTAATCACAATTTACATTCTATACATTGATCCTCATTTTTTTTGTTTGTTTATTGAAACCTTTATCTTCGTAAAGATTACAGGAAGACTTTTCAAATACTTTTCAAATATGGAATTATAAATATATACTTAGAAAATATTTTGTACTTCTTTACAGCTTAATATAATTGTTATTAAAAAAATCTATTATGATTGCTATATAGCTTTGGTATCTAAATATGATAGTATTTGATTAATGTTAATGGTGGAGGAAGGGACCTCCACCTTGCTTTCTTTAATTTAAGTACCATAGTTTGCCTAACTTTACTTCGCAAAGAACACTACCAAGGAATATAGTCTTTATATTTAACTTATGTCACAAAAGTGGCAACTTTTTAGTTTTTCACGTAAAACATTTTTAACATAAATAATGATCCAAAAAATGTTACTAAATTATTTAAAAGTATAGCAAAATACAAACGTTTTTTTAAAATTATTTAAAAGTAAATTTAAAAGATTAAATGTTATAAAAATAAAACGAAAAATTTGAAGACTTATAGAAGAATAAAAATACTCGATTTACAAGAAAAATAAGAAATAAATTTTATTATTTATTCATTATGTTATTTAAATGCTAAGTTTAAATGCTAAAAGATACTGAAATGTTGAAACAAAGGTCGTTACAGTAAATATGTAATCGTTGTAACTTGTTTGTAGGCGAAAATAAATGTGTCAGATTTAGAGACAAATTAACAAATTTTTAAATAATATATCTTAACGCAATATAATCAAATAACATATCAAACAAAATTATACAACGTTTACAATGTTTGAAATGCAAAATATGTAAAACTGTTATAAAAATATAATGTGTACATTAGATAATGAAAATATTTCGCATGATTATTTGCAATACATAATATATAAAACCAAAATTAATAATTTGTCCATTTTTATTTTAATTCATACAGAAAAAGACTATAATGCATAAATTGTCGATAACAATTAATTTTAAATATTAATAATCGTTATGCAATTAACGTTGTTAATAATAACTTTGCAAAATAATTGATATTTGAACACCTGTAATAACACTGATACACATTATCGAAAATATATATTTACTTTATAAGTTTTAAAAATGGTTAGTTTTGAAGACAATATGACAAACTAAAGAAATGCATGTTACCTGTAACAAGTGTTACTGAAATTCAAAATATTTTGTACATTTTGAAGTATGCGTAAGTAGCGAAGCCAACTTCATATGGAAAATCGATCAGATCACGGTTAAGTTGAAGTTGTTAGAGAGAAACACAAAAGAAAAAATTGTGTGGCGGAATATTGTTTGGACGCAATTAAAAGGGAGTGAGTAAAGGCGTATTGTATAAATAAAAATGATTATAAACCGTTTAGTTAAAGTTACTTTCGTTTATATTTATCACGCGTAAAAATTATGCAAGAGTTTACCTTTCTATGTATAGTCTACAGATTTAACACTTTACCGACTGGTAGCGGTTAACCCTAGGCTATCGCGCGGGAATGTATATGCGCTTTTTCTTATATTTATAGAAATGTTAAATCAAAATTTGTGAAAGTGCTTACTATATTGTTCGCTTTCTGTCATTATAGGGTACTTAAATCTAATAACAATTTTTATTTTTATGACAAGCGAATAATAGGCTACCGTTGGCGGCAAAAAGTCAATTAATATGTTACTGATCGGTAAAGTATTAAATTAGATATAGAAAAACTGATTTCGCCTTTACTAGTCAATGTCGAAACATAATACATTCATAGCTGACTCCAGAACGAGCCATACCCTTTCTATTCAGTGTAAAATCGGACTGGAGTCAGTTGTCGTTTAATCATCTGCCTTTATTATTACTTTATCATTAGTATGTGTAACGTAATATCGTCTAAGCAGTGATGTTAGACGAAAAGAATTTTGATGACCATTTCCAGAGTAGAAATAATAGTGAGAAAATTATTTTTTCCTAGTGCCTCGTGTTCAACCAGTGATGCCAGAAAAGCACCGTCGCAGTGATGCCAGAAAAGCACCGTCGGGTGCACACTGACACATGCTAGATACGCGTACGTGAGCTCGTGGAGTTTCGGAAAGACGACAAAGGCAAACTGACGCATGCCCTCTTTCTCGATTCTCCGAAGCTGCACGAAGTAATTTCGGACCGCTTCGTGGGAGTCGAGAGAGAAAGGCTCACATTTGCCTTCTCGCTCTTAACAATTGAAATCCGACCTCCAGTCAACGGCATACGATTTGGATTCTCGAGCCGAGATTCTCGACTGCCCAGGCATTTTTACTTTCCGACCTATGTAGGCGCACATAAGCAAAGTACCCATAATGAAAAAAAAATTTTGTAAAATTTATTTTACGGAAATACACGTTTTAAGACCTCCTGATCATATTTTAATTATTGAAAAAAAAGAAATTTTTTTTTATTACCATGTATGAACACACATATGTATATTATTATTACGATTGAGTATAAATAGCTTGTGGCGGCCAAGGCACCACATACGCCTTAGCCGTTCGAAGCCGCTACAATGTATGGTTGCACACGAGACGATGGTTGCACACGAGACGACCAGAGCCGCGTGAGCCGAAAAGCCGTTGTCGTCGTCTCTGACCGTCTTTTGTTTTTGAAGGCCTCTTGGTACGGTGGCGATGATCGTACCAGAGAGTCGAGCGTAACCCGCACCACGAGTCACGTCGTTGTACGACAGCAACAATAAAATTGTGCGGAACGGAACAGAGCGGAGTCATTATCTTCCCGATCCCACATTGGTGACCCCGACGTGATCTCGCCGCGCAAGTAAAGTTTTTTTTAAGAAAATTTGGACATTTTTTGTATACGGACAATATTAGTTAGTGTAGAGAAATAAGTGTATAGTGTTAAGGACATAAGAAAAGGACACGGTCTGACAAATAGTAAGCGCGGTGTGTGTGTGCGGTGAAACTATTTTTTTTTTGTGACCAAGACTGGTAAAATGACTGACCCTAACGTTAACGCAGGGACATCCGCGGGTGTGCCGTTGGCAGTTGATCGCGTCGCTGTACGGATACCCGAGTTTTGTCCGGGAGACCCGGAGATGTGGTTTTCAATGGTAGAGAGAAGTTTTGAGGTATCCAATGTAACGTCGGAGACCACGAAATTCGGGTACATTCTCGGCGCGTTAAGTGCGCGACACGCCGCGGAAGTAAGAGACATTATCATGAATCCTCCGGCCACGGATCCGTACACGACGCTCAAAAATGAGTTTATTCGCCGGCTTAGTGCTTCGCAGGAACAGAAAACGCGACGGTTATTGGAACACGAGGAAATCGGGGACAGAAAACCGTCCCAATTTCTTCGTCACCTGCGCGGATTGGCCGGTACGGCTTTTTCGGACGGTGTATTGCGGACGCTTTGGATGGGCCGACTACCTGCTAATATGCAGGTGATTTTAGCCACGCAGCGGGACACCCCGCTGGATAAGGTGGCAGAGTTGGCAGACGCTGTTGCGGATACGATGACACCGCGGGTACACGTCACGGAGGCCGCGATTACGGGCGTGTCTGCATCCTGCCAAATACCCCCGCCGGGCCCGAGCATCGAGGCCATGTTAAACATTAAGATGTCGCAATTGGCTCTTTCCTTGAGGCAGGAAATTTCTGCCATCCGTGAATCCTTGGTGGACCAGGGGCAATCTTCCCGTCGCAGGTGGACCCACCGAAATCATCCAAACTCGCGCTACCGCAGACGATCTCTATCGCGATCGCGAGAGCGGCCCGCGGGAGGACAAATGGACCATCAAGGGAAATGCTGGTACCATTGGCGGTTCGGTCCGGCCGCGCAGAGGTGCGTTGCACCGTGCAATTGGAACGCCACGGATCAGGGAAACGACCTGGGGAGTCGTTGATGGCGGCCAGCGACACAAATCCAGCATCACGCCGCCTCTTCATCTTAGACAACAGCTCGAAGACGGAATTTTTAGTGGATACCGGGGCCGATTTGTGCGTTTTTTCCGCGCCGCCTGCTAGGCGGATTGCGAGAAAGATCGGAGTACCAGCTGGCGGCGGCGAATGGGAGTGTAATTAACACCTACGGGACAGTGTCGTTAAACCTGCACCTCGGCCTACGACGGGATTTCGTGTGGCGATTCGTGGTTGCGGATGTTACAAACCCCATAATCGGGGTAGACTTTCTCGATCACTTCGATCTTATGGTGGACATCCGCAATCGTCGCCTCGTCGATCGGACCACGTCGTTAACGGTCCGCGGAACACGAGCCGAGGATGAAACGCCGTCGGTGAAGACAGTAGCAGGGACTACCGTTTACCACCAGCTCCTGATGCAGATGCCGGAACTTACACGGCCTAGCGGCACCCCGATGAGGACTACGCACCAAACGGTGCATTACATCGAGACAACCCCTGGACCACCCGTTTCCAGCAAGCCGCGGCGGCTTGCACCGGACCGGCTCAGGGCTGCCCAGAAGGAGTTCGACGCGATGGTGAAGATGGGCATCGCTTGTCCTTCGAAGAGCGCGTGGTCAGCACCCCTTCATATGGTTCCGAAGAAGGGCGAAGAAGCTTGGAGGCCTTGCGGTGACTATAGAGCGTTAAACGCACGGACAATTCCCGACCGATACCCCGTGCGTCACATTGAGGATTTTGCGCAACAACTGAGTGGCAAAAAGGTATTTTCCACAATAGATCTCGTCCGAGCTTATAATCAGATTCCGGTTGCATCGGAAGACGTCGGAAAAACGGCCATTACAACGCCGTTCGGGCTTTT